GGAACACAGTCCGTCAGGCCCCTCCGCTTTTTGCAAGCCAGACTCGGGGGCTCTGCTTGGCCGGCGAGCCGCCCCTCCGCCCCGGCTCCCTCCCGCCAGTCCGTGGAGCGCGCACCGCCTTGCCGCCCTTCCTACCCTCTTCTGTGGGCCTCTCGTCTGCGCTTGGGTCCGCCGACTCCGTTCTGCTAATCCTCTGGCGGTTTTCTGGGTTATTTAGGCAGGTGTAGGTGGAATCTAAGTGATCAGCAGGACGCGCGGTAAGCCCAGCGTCCTCCTAAGCGACCATCTTCCCTCTCTCCTCAGGGTCTTGATCTATATATGTCCCAGAAAACACACAGCAATCTCATGGTCACATTTCTTGGACACCTATTCAACTGGGACTGCAGTGGCTTTCTCTGGTTCTCAATAATCTTTCAATATGTGGCCAAAATCTACACACCCGCTTGCTTTAATCATTCATCTAATGGGGGCAGAGCAAAGACGCCACAGCTCTGAGACCAGGGCTCAACAAGAACTTCCTGGGTGAGGCCAGTAGTCTCACAGAAAATTCCTTTGGGGGTGAGTAGCAGGTAGAATGATGGCTACTTGGCTTTCTTGCTACTGGTTCTAATTAACTTGGTCTTTGAGACTGGGTAGAGCTGAGAGAGTTTTATGTGGCTACTTGGGCATGTCTATTGGGAATGGCATCAAGTTTCCACTCAATAACTTCCACAAGGGCTCTCAGTGTGTTTAGCCTACATGTTACTAATTCACCAATAAACCATGTTGAGTTCAGTCTTGAAAGTGACTATCACCTTTCAGTAACACTGTTTCAAAGGCATCTCAGAGTCGGTTTGAGAATGTGTGTTTCTCTCTTTTCCCCTTCATCCATCTCCCTCTCCTTCCTTCTCTCCTTCCCCTCTTCCCACCCATGTCTATGCTTCTCTCTCAGTTCCATAGTCAGGGTCTTGCTAGAAGGGTCCAAGTAGGAAAATCCTTTCTGTCACACTTGGTCACATTATAAATATACAGACTCTAAAGACAGGCTATGGTCTAGACACCTGCATGGGAACACAAGCAATGACACTTTCTCCAGCAGCCTCCCATCAACAAACAAGACTCAGAGATGTTTACTCAGATTTTTGACTACTCAATAAACCAGTTGTGTTTTAGTACTTTTCCAATGACTGAGATGGCAAATGGAACACCAGGAGCTTATGTCTTAAAGTTTTCCACTTGATGAAAAATATGTGGGATTCAGTAAAGAGGGTAAAAACCAAACACTCAAAATGATGACCACTAAAGCCACCAATCATAAAGACAAGTGTTGTAAAATGGAAAGAAACTTGCACAGGAACCCAGGGACCTAGGATCTTGTTTAGACCTGGCTAATAACTTGCATTGTTTCAGTTTCTCCAAAGGTAAATTAGGCAGTTAGAATAAATAATTTTGGAAGGCTCTTCCAATCATATACTTTATGGGTTGTAAATAGAATCTTTTATCTCAAGTGCTGTGGTTCTTAACCTTTATTGGGTCACAGGTCCATCTGAAATTCAGTAGAATGCTATGGACCATCTCCCCAGAAAAGGCACATTGTCATGGAGTTATGCATACCATTTCAGAAGCTTCGTGGAGTTTCTGAATCCACGGACACTGGGATAGGAGTTGTTTCTTGGAGGAGATAAAAGAGCTTGTTTATCTGCATAAGGCAAACATGAAGCAATAGTGCCAGCTGCCTGGACTCAATCCATCTTAACAATTTTTCCCAGTATTTGACCCAGGAATGGAACTTGTGCAGGACAAATACAGCCTGCATTTTTAAAAGAACTATTTTTCAGCTTTTGTATCTTTCTTAATTGGTTGGAAATGAAGCTGTCAGGAAAAAAAAAAACAGGAAAAACAACTCAAACAAACCTAGGCTTCAACATGCAAAATATTCTTTGTAGATTTGTCCTATGTGGCTATATGTAAAAACAGGAAGGCCACTTTTTGAGTCCATATGAAGAGGTTGTGTTTGGCATCACTCATGCTGTCTGGCCCAATAGGAGCAGACAGGTTCTTGGTAATATACTGCAGTGCCAGAACTCCAACCTAGTACCAGCCTCCTTATCCTTAGTAAGAGACATGTTAATATTCTCCAATGTTCAGCAAACATTCCTACTCTTCTACAGTGGGCAATGGCCCCCAACTCAAGTAGCTTCTACTTTAGGGTAAGACCTCTGAGATCAGTCTTTAGTCCAAAATCTTTCAGAGTTCCATGGTCTTCTGAGGAGGCCGTAAAATTCAGAGAAGAGCTGAAAACTAAGCTCCTTTCTTCAACTCAGGTCAGTAGATAGCTTGGTTTCTGCAGTCTGGCTTGAGGGTGTTCAGCCATTCACAGTCATATAGTAGCTCAACATAGATCTTCAGAGGGAATGAAGACAGAATACATAGGAGAAATAAAACTGTGTCTAAGACATGTGCCCCTTATTTTATAGCATCCTAGAGCCTGAAGGTGCAAGGCCAGGAAGAAGCTGCTCTCCTCAGCACAAAATGACTCAACACACAAGGGTTTGAAGAAGACCCTTCCAGAACCTGTGGAGGATCCTCTGAGACCAAGGATTTCAAAACCTAAAAAGGAAAGAAGAGAGTAGGTAATTAGCTAGAACTGGTCAAGTACTTACCAGCCACTGAGGAGTGACACCTCTCTTGTTGGGTAGCTAAACATATAATTGGTAGCTAATCTTCTGAGCAACAGAGGCTGGCTAGGAAAAGGCCCTTACAACTCAGATCCTTTGAGACAGGCCTAAGATGGTGCTATAATCAGGACTGGAAACAGTGTCCATTTGACCTCAACACTTATTCCCTAAAAGTCCACAGGAGATGAATCCTGATACCTCTGAGGTTACCCACCTAGAGTAGCCATTGCATTTATGGCACTACAATAACTGAACTGATTTTCTGGGACTTCATCTCCATGAGGGCTGCTAAGGAAAAGCTTATCAACCCATGGACCACATAGGACTGGCAGTGATAAGAAGAAAAAGAAGGCTAGGAGACAAATGGAAAGTTCTTCTTCAGATACCCAGATCTCATTTATGTTTATATTGGTTAATGTCATGCCAGAAATCTGATAGCCAATTAGAACTCCTTGGTAGAGAAAAAAAAATTCCATGATCTCTGTGACTCTTGTGACCTTACCAAGTTACTTATCCCCTCTGAACCTCAGTTCCTTTTTTAAAGTTTATTTATTTATTTTGAGAGAGAAAGAGAGAGCAGGGGAAGGGCTAATAGAGAGACTCTCAAGTAGGTTCTGCACTGTCAGTAAGGAGACTGATGTGGGGCTCAAACTCATAAATCATGAGATCATGACCTGGGCTGAAATTAACAGTCAGATGCTTAACTGACTGAGCCACCCAGGCGCCCCTGAACCTCAGTTCCTTTATTGGCTGAGTTAAAATACATATTATTCTCCTTATTTTGGCATTTGATATGGATCAAATAAAATAATGGAAGTGAAAGTATTTTGCATAATGGAAGTGGAAGTATTTTGCATTAAACAAATATACAGGACTAAGGATAAAGGTTTTGGGGGTAGGACTTAAATAGTTATTTGTTCTAAAGCTGCCAAGTCTCTACATGATACTGAAGTGGACTCATGGTACTTGCTATAATACCAAAAGAGAGCTTACTGATTTTCTTATAGACCGAAAGAATGTCAGAGTTAGACAGTTCCAAACTTTTCATTGTACAGATTGGGAAATTGAGGCTAAGAGAATGAAATGTACTTGCCCCAAATGTCACATTCTAGGATTTCTAATGAACTTTATCCAAAGGCAACTTGTAAAACCATGCTGTAGTTTGGTTGGAGGAGAAAGGAAGGAAAGAGGAAGGAGACTTAAAAACACAGGGAACCTCAGAATTAGAAGGCAGTAAATATAAGGGTTATGAACTGAGACAGGGAGGGAGCTCCTACCCTCTGGACCCTCAAGACTAAAGTCCTCAAAAGTTCAAATTCCATAAAGAAGGCTTATATTTAATAAGGTTTTGTAATCAGGGGTGAAGAATACATACCTGAGGCCTCAACTCTCATCTCCAGGAAGTCTTCCTTGAGAACTGTGGGTAAAGGAGGAAAAATATGTCACTAAGTCTCTAGAAATCAGAACCGGAAAGGCAAAGCAAGGGGATGGGTGACCCTTCCAGGCCAGTGTCAAAGAGTCCATCTGAAAAATGGGAAGTAATCCATCCAAATGTTTCAAAGCATCTAGATCTATGCTTATAAGTTGGGATGCCTCTCGGCAGTTTTAGAAAGCCCAGTAACCTAAATACAAAGACATCTCTCAGGTGTCAGAATAATCCTTTTAGTGTTTAGGCAATGGGAAGCTAGGGGAGCCCAGAGAAACTGGCCCAAGACCAAAACCTGTATTCTGTGATTATCTCTCATAGGGATAAGGACAAGGTAGAATGGCAAATGCCATTCAAAACATTAATCACCCTTTGCCTTAAAGACCCAACCAACTTTCCCCAGCCCCTTAATATGCTTAGATCCATACTAACTTAGCCTTGTCTGGGAAGAGCTGGAGGGAAGAGACAATCCTAAAGAATGAAGGCCTATATAGTTTTGCCAGAACATCCCAGACAATAGATAGAATGACAATAGGGCTATTTCCATAGCATTGTTTTTCTGTCCTTTCCTAAGTCTATTTATATCTACTTCCTGAGTGATCTTACTCCCATTCATGGTTTAAATCACCACCAAATACTGAGAACCCACCAAGGGGCCACTATTCACATCGTAGTATATGTAAATGTCCCGTGAAGTTGCACAGTGGCTGTATTCAACAGTTCTACCCCTAAATCTCTGTGGATTCAACCTCAACTACTAGTCTAAGTTGCAGTTACCTACTGGACATTTCTTTTTTTATTTTTTATTTAAATTCCAGTTAGCTAACACACAGTATAATAATAATTTCAGGTGTACAATACAGTAATTAAACATTTCCATAAAACACCTGGTGCTCATCACAAGTGTTTCCTTAATCCCCACAATGTATTTACAACATCCCCTACCCCCTTCTCTTCTGGTAACCACCAGTTTGTTCTCTATAATTAAGTCTGTTTCATCATTTGTCTCTCTATCTCCAATCTCCCCCCTTTGCTTGTTTTCTTAAATTCCACATATTAGTGAAATCATATGGTAGTTGTGTTTCTCTGACTTATTTCTCTTATTGTAATACTCTCCAGCTCCAACTATGTTGTTGCAAATGCCAAGATTTAATTCCTTTATATAGGTGAGTAATATGCCATTCTATATATACCATCTCTTCATTATCTATTTATTCATCAGTTGAAGGACATTCGGGCTCTTTCCATAATTTGGCTATTGTTGATAATGCGGCCATAAACATTGGAGTGCATGTGCCGCTTCGAATCAGTATTTTTGTATCCTTTGGACAAATACCTAGTAGTGCATTTGCTGGATCATAGGGTAGTTCTATTCTTACCATTTGATGAACCCACATACTGTTTTCCAGAGTGGCTGTACCAGTTTGCATTCCCACCAAAATTGCATGAGGGTTCCCCTTTGTCCACATCTTCAACACCTGTTGTTTCTGGTGTTGTTGATTCAGACATGTGTGAGGTGATATCTCACTGTAGTTTTGATTTCCATTTGATGTTGAGTGATATTGAGCATATTTTTATGCATATGTTGACCATATGTATGTGTTCTTTGGAAAAGTGTCTATTCCTATCTTCTGCCCACTTTTTTAAATGTATTATTCATTTTTTGGGTGTTGAGTTTCATAAGTTTTTTAAAATATATTTTGGATACTAATTTTTATCAGATATGATATGTGCGAATATCTTCTCCCATTCAGTAGGCTCTTTTTCAGCCTTTTTGCTTTGTTTATTGTTTCCTTCACCGTGTAGGTTTTTATTTTGATGAAGTCCCAATAGTTTATTTTTTATTTCCCTTGCCTCAGGAGACATATCTAGTAAGAAGTTGCTATGGCTGATGCCAAAGGGGTTACTGCCTGTGTTCTCCTCTAGGATTTTAATGGTTTCCTCTCTCACATTTAGGTCTTTGATCCATTTTGAGTTTATTTTTGTGTATGGTGTAAGAAAGTGGTATAGTTTCACTATTTTGCATGTTGCTGTCCAGTTTCCCCAACACTGATTGTTGAAGAGACTGTCTTTTTCACATTGGAAATTCTTTCCTGTTTTATTGACCATATAGCTGTGGGTTCATTTCTGAGGTTTCTATTCTGATCCCTGATCCATTGATCTACGTGTTTATTTTTGTGCCAGTACCATACTATCTTAATCACTACAGATTTGTAATATAACTTAAGCTCCAGAATTGTGATACTAGCAGATTTTCTTTTCTTTTTCAAGGTTGCTTTGGCCATTCAGGGTCTTTTGTGGTTCCATGCAAATTTTAGGATTGTTTGTTCTGGCTCTCTGAAAAATGCTGGTGGTATTTAGATAGGAATTGCATTAAATGTGTAGATTGCTTTGGGTAATATAGACATTTTCACAATACTTGTTCCTCCAATCCATGGACATGGAATGTTTTTCCATTTCTTTGTGTCCTCAATTTCTTTCATCAGTGTTTTATAGTTTCAGAGTACAGACTGTTTACCTCTTTGGTTAAGTTTATTCCTATGTATCTTATGGTTTTTGGTGAAATTGTAAATGGGATTGATTCCTTGATTTCTCTCTCAGCTGCTTCATTATTGGTGCATATAAATTCAACAGATTTCTGTATGTTGAATTTGTATCCTGCATCTATATTGAATTTGTGTAGCAGTCTTTTGAGTTTTCTATACAGAGTATCATGTCATCTGCAAAGAGTGGAAGTTTGGCTTCTTTGATGATGATTTTGTTGTCTTTTATTTCTTTTTGCTGTGTGCTTGCTGGGGGTAGAACTTCCAGTACTATGTTAAATAACGGTGAGAGTGGAATCCCTAATTTTTGACCACAGAGGAAAAGCTCTCAGTTTTTCCCCATAGAGGATATTAGCTGTGGGTTTCTTGTATGGCCTTTATTATGTTGAGATATGTTCCCTGTAACCCAACTTTTCTTGAGGGTTTTTAATGAATGATGTTGTACATTGTGAAATGCTTTCCTTGCATCTATTGAAAAAAAATCATATAGTTCTTATTATTTCTTTTAATAATGTGGTATACAGTATTGATTGAATTGTGAATATTGAACTACCTTTGAAGCCCAGGAATGAATCCTACTTGATTGTGGTGAATGATTCTTTTAATGTACTGTTAGATTTGGTTTGCTAGTATTTTATTGAGAATTTCTGCATCCATCTTCATCAAGGATAGTGGCCTGTACTTCTCTTTTAGTGGAGTCTTATTCTGGTTTTGGTATTCAGGTAATGTTGTGGTCCTATAGAATGACTTCCTAGGTTTTCCTTCTTTTTCTATTTTTTGGAACAGTTTGTGGAAAAATAGGTATTAATTCTTTCTTTAATGTTTGGTAGAATTTCTCCATGAAGCCATCTGGCCCTGGACTTTTGTTTGCTGGGAGATTTTTGATTACTGATTCAATGTCTTTGCTGATTATCAGTATGTTCAAGTTTTCTATTTCTTCCTGTTTCATTTTTGGTAGTTTATATGTTTCTAGGAATTTATCCATTTCTTCCAGTTTGTCCAATTTGTTGGCATATAGTTTTTCATAATATTCTAACTGTTTATATTTCTGTGGTGTTGGTTGTTATTTTTCCTCTATCATTTGTGATTTTATTTGTGTCTTTTCTCTTTTCTTTTTGGTAAGCCTGGCTAGAGGCTTACCAATTTTATTAATTAATAAGAGGAGTTAAGATGGCAGAGTAGTATGAGGATCTTATGCTTGCCTCATCCCTTGAACATAGATAGGTAATTATCAAATCATTCTGAACACCCAGGAAATCCATCTGAGGACTGAGAGAACAAACTACACAACTAGAGGGAGAAAAGAGGCAATATTATGGAAGGTAGGAGGTTTGGAGATGTGATTTGGGGGCTAGAAAAGAATCGTGGGTGCTGCAGAGAGGAGGGAGCCCTGATCACAGAGAGAGGAGAAATAGACAAAGGGAAAGAGAGAGAGAGGACAAATGAAAGCAGTATGCAAGGGGGTTGCAGAAGAAAAACACTTCCCCAAAACCAGTGACTTGAGAATACAAGAGGAGCTTATTATAGCCAGTTTTTACAAGCAGCCAAGCTGATAGTCTGAAGTTTTAGAAGTCTGCACCATCATCAGGGTCAAGCCTGGTGGGTATAGTGTTGCTCCTGTGGAGAAGGAGACCAAAAGCCAGAAAGTAGTCAGTGTTCTCTGAGGATCTCCTGGGTTAAACTGAGAGAGAAAGTTCTTCTTCTTGGACTGCATTTGGAAGAGGTGGCACTGCCTCTCAAGGGACAAAAGAGCCAGTGAGCACCATTGAGCTGTCCCATTCATTAACATAAAGGCTGCTGAGGGCAGCTAACCTGGATGAGGGCTTTTTGTTGAACTTTACCATAAAATCCAAGCCCCTGTGTGATCATGTGACTATTTTTCTGGGACAAACTGGTACCAGCAGAAAGCAGTGAGTCCCTCCTAGAGAATCAGTGTGGGTCCCTGCCACACCAAGTCCCTAAAATTTGCAGTTTTGAAACCCAGCTGTGCGCCTGAGATAAAACACAGCAGCACTGCACTGCTGGGTGGACAGAAGGCCAGTAAATAGGATGAAGGTAGGGATCTGATGGAAGCCTGGGACACAAGAGGGGAGATTGTTCACTCTTCTGTGAGGGCTTTCTGAAAAGAAGTGGAAACAAAGTCACCTCGCTGGGAAAGAGAGTGGGCTAACACCATTTTACATCCATCATATGAGCAATGAGGGACAACAGCTAGTGGCATAGCCCACACAGCAGAGGCTTGAGCTGCTTATACCAAGTGCCGCTTCTCTGAGACCTGCAGGTGTCTTTTTTTACTAGGGAAAGTATGACTGAAAGCCAGATCAGCAGTGAGCTCTTGCTCCAGAAGTGAACATGAACCCCCCCTCCCTTCGCCCCACGCTGTCCATGGCCTGGAGCTTTACAGAGTGTCTCTTGTGTGTGCTGCATGTTTTCTATTGTGTTTTAGGTGCTCCATCCTTCAGGCCAGTCCCCTGCAGACATTTTACTTGCCTACATTGGACAGTGTTTGGTCCCTGGTCTTAATGTGGTGAGGTTTAACTAGGTGTGCTCTGGTGTGCTTGTGAAATGAGACATGATGCTACTTCCAATAGAAATGAAGCCCTGCAGAATGCTCTGGTCAGGAAATGCAAACTGGACAGGGGTTTCTGGTGGTCTTCTAGGGAAGGGCCTCACCATGCTGTGCCTGATACAAGCTTGACCTAGAAGGGCAGTACCTCCAGAGCACAGGGTGAGGGACCTGGTGTAAGCAGCCTAGGAAGCTAGTGTTGGTGCTATGGTGCTTATTGCAGGTGGCTCTGCGTTTATGCTGAGGGGTGTGAATGGGAGAAATGGCACCAGCTATCTCCCTTGTCCTTGGAGAGGTGCCTCCATGCACACTGACTCTGAGGGAAGCACTCTGAGAGGAGCAAATAATCTTCCCCCATATGTCCCAGGTGTTTTTCAGATAGCTGTTTCCACACTATCAGACTTGGGGGTGTATACTGCCTTCTTTATAGGAGCAGCGCAGTGCCTCCCAGCCTCTATCACAGCAAAGTCCACTCTCCCTTAAAACTACATGCTTTAAGCCCCACTTGTTGCAAGAACTCAAAAAATTCAGCCATTTTCATTTTCCAAGCCAACAACCCTGCGGAAATGTTCTCCTTGTGCATTCTTCTGTGATCCTCTATCTCTTGCCCTTCTCTGTGATCACTGATCCCTCCCCTGCACATACCAGCGATCCATTTCTCCCCTAAACGCCCTCTCCACACTTCCTACCTTCTTCAGTGTGGACTATTTCCTACCTTTATTTGTAGAGTTTGTTCTGTCAGTCTTCCTGTCTATTTCTGGGGGCATTTAGGATGATTTTTAGTTATCTAGTTGTGTTTGTGGGATGGGTGAGCCGCAGGTCCTCCTACTCTGCTCCTATCTTCCTCTCAACCCCCACTGGATATTTCTTTCTTGATATTCCGCAGGGTCTTAAAATCACTGTGTCCAAAATTGAGGGGAGCAACACTTTCCCACAAAAGTTGTTCCTCCATGACTCATTATTGTTATCATACACTTAATTTTCTAGAATAGACTTTTACCCCCTTTTAATCCTTCTCCAATGCTCCATGTTTGAAAAATCAGCAAGGTCTCATTGTGTCTATCTCAAAACTGTCCATTTTATTCCATTGTATTGGCAATGTCATAGGTTAAGGCCTCATTAACTGTTGCCATGATGATTATCCTCCTAATTAGTCTCTCTATCTCCAGTCTTTACTCTCCCATCTATCTTTCTCAGTACTACTAGAATGATTTTTTTACAATTCAGTCATCTCAGACTATGCATTGTCATGTTTAAAAGTTCCATGACTCATCATAGAGTATAGTATAAAGACAAAAACCCTTTGTATGTCATATAATGTCTTTAAAGTCTGGCCCCAAAGTATCTTTATGGCCTCACCTCCAAGTAAGTTTCCCTCTTCTCACCCCCACATTGTAGCCAAATTGTAACACTAATGACTTACTGAACTTGTCTTGCATAAGCTGTCTGCCTTGCTGAACTATCTTCCCCTCCCTTCTCTTCTTGATGAACCACTTCTCACTGTCATTTGAGATTTAATTTTTTTATTGGTTATGGAAAGGAGATGAATGAGGAAGTGAGGTGATTCAAATGTCAGGCTACAGTCAGGGGTACAAATGGGAAGCAAAAAGGAGGATAAACAAAGGATAAACAGATGATTATTTTCATCAGAGATGAGAGAAGAGTTTCAACAATGTATAGATGGTACTGATGTAGATGTACTAGTACAAATGGGGGTTACAAGGTGAGAGCCTAGACAGAAGTGTTGTTTTTTCTACGTGGATACTAAATGTGAGGAACATGTGGATACAGAGTATGTCTCTATGGCTCATGACACACTGGAGGATAGGTGTATCCATTTTGGTGTTGCCCACACCTCTGCCAAGATGGTATCTGGAGGTAAAGTACAGAATTAAATCTAGGTTTCAGAAGGCTAAACATAGGATAAGTAGAGTTGTTCTCTAGCCTGAACTGCCTGGTTTGGCTACAGCCCTCTCATGTTGTAAGTTGGTCCAGGAATTCCCTGAGCAGTAGCTGACATAGCTGACATAGCTCAGCCAGTAGTGACAGTACCTCAGACAATGTTTCCATACTTTCAACATCAGTTTGGCTATACTTTCCTTTTAGAAGATGGCCTGCCTTCAAGATTCTACTGAACTTTGTTCATGCCTCTTACAAATTCTCTCTCATTGTCTCGGTTCCCTGTCCAAGGCTACCAATGAATTCTTTATATGTTTTGGTGTATTTCTACTCATCTTTTAAGCTCTAACTTAGGTATCACTTCCTCTAAAAAAGTTTTCCTTTAAAAAAATGTTTTAATGTTATTTTTGAGAGTGAGAGAGGCAGAGTGTGAGTAGAAAAGGGGCAGAGAGAGAGGGAGACACAGAATCCAAAGCAGACTCCAGGCTCTGAGCTGTCAGCACAGAGCCCAACGTGGCACTTGAACCCAAGAACCTTGAGATAATGACCTGAGCCAAAGTTGGATGCTCAACCTGAGCCAAAGTTGGATGCCTAACCCACTGAATCATTCAAGTACCCTGTAAAAAAAGCTTTCCTTTAGATGTACCCATTTCATTCTGTTAATTCTAGTTTACTTCATTACATTTCCTTGGTAGTTATTTCTCATATGGCTTATTCTAGGGAGGGAGGAAGAATCACCAAGGAAATAGGATGTGATCCTGCTCACAGGCAGGTGCTATATTAAGAGTCTCTCTGTCTCTGTCTCTCTCTCTCTCTCTCTCTCTTATTTTTTTTTTCAAGAGGGACATTTGACTAAGCCTGTTTTAAAAACATCCTAGGTAAAAATTTTATTGTATTGGAAGAGAAACCTGGGACTGTAACATCATTTTTATCTGTTATGGTAGAATAAATGGTAAATTATTCTCAAAGGAAAATTTGGTCTGGTCTAATGGCTGACTGCCAAGCAGAACTAGGGTGACTTGCTGTGCAGGGTCATGTACTGGTGAGTTAGGTCTCACAGCATTGACTAGATAGTGTTAAGCATACCCCAACTCCAGTGTTGGCACATTTTTCTTTTAACTGACCACCTAGAAAAGCTATACTCTTATCACCCATCAGGAAGCACAATTTCAAACTCTCTGATAAGCAACATGGAGCAAGCTCACAAAAGAGTCCCTAAAGGCTATGCAGCCATTTCTGTAGATGTTATAGCCTAAAGGGTCTCAGATGCCAGACTCTGGACAATCTGTATCAATATCTTAGAAGTTTTAAAAACAAACTGGAAGGAAGGAAGGAAGGAAGGAAAAGAAAGAAAGAAAGAAAGAAAGAAAGAAAGAAAGAAGAAAGAAAGGAAGTAAAAGGAAAGTAAAGGAAGAAAAAAGAAGAAAGAGGAAAGATAAGAGAAGAGAAGAGAAAAAAGAAACATACTCAGGCCCCACTCCTGGAGATTCTGTTTCAGTGGGTCTGGAGTCGAAGGAAAATCTACTTGTTTTTGTTCCCTCAGTTTTTTCCAGGTGATTTATATCATACCACCTAATGTTTGCTTATTCTAAGGCTGCTTATGTTAGAGTGTTACATTATGTGTATTCCTATCAGCTGCTCTTTTAGAATATAATAGAGTCTAAATAAGTAAACTAACAAAAAAAAAAGACTTACGTTGAGTGTAATATTTTTTGTAGTGTTACTTAGTATGTGAGTACTGTTTTCATATCTGCGTCTGAGAGAGAGAGAGAGAAAAGAAAAGAGAAGAAAAGAAGAGGAGGAGGTGGAGGAGGAGGAGGAGGAAGAAGAAATGGAAAACAGTGCCAGAGACTCAATGGCACAACAGATACAGAGATAGGCAAAGAAAGAGAGACATGGAGAAAGACAGAAAAAGAGTAAAATATACAGATAGGAGACAGAGAGACAAAGACAGAAACAGAGATATAAGTAGAAAAACACAAAGAGAGAAAGAGACTGAGAATGACAAAAACAGAGAGAAAGAAAGTGTGAGAGAGACAAATAGAGTAACAAAGAGAAACACACATGTATATAGACAAAGACAAATATGCAGGGTGAGAGATGAGGAGACAGAGAGAACTAGGAGAAAGGGACAGAGAGACAGAGACAGCTACAGAGAAACAGAAAAACAGAATGTAAGAGAGGAAATGAAATGCTCATGATCCATTAAATAAAAAGTAACTTGGTTCTTCTTCTGTCACTTATATGTCTTACCTTCCTGTTTTTCGGGAAGCTGTTTCAAAGAACCTGGTCCTGGAAGCCACCCTGCAAACAGAAGCCAATCAAGTCCCATGAGTTTCTCTGGAATACATATGAGAACCAATAGACAATGAGCAACACAAAAACTATAAACCAGATGGGCACCAATTGAAGGGTCTGCCTTAGCTTGCAAAGGACCTGGGTCTGAGAAGAAACCCAAGCATCAGAATGTGAAATGACTCAGAGACCGTAAGCTACTGCAAGGCTATGCCTAATGCCCTTTGCTTTCCCTTGGTTCAGAATGGTCTGAGTATGTTGTTGGTTCAGGCTATTCTTGTGAGAAATAAGTGAAACAAGTCTTTGGTTTCAAAGTATAAATTTTTGCCATTTTTGTAAATACACTTAGCTACTTAATTAACATGGTAGAGTCTTTCTTTTTCCTATTTCCCCCATTTTACAATTATAGAAAACAAGAAACATGAGAAAAAGGAATACAGGAGGCAGTATATGAGAGGGATCCCAAGCACTGGCTGAAGAGAGACCAGTTAGGCTAACTGTGGCCATGAAAGGCTGATCTGTGAGAGCTGCTATGCTCCTACCTTAGCCACTCTATGCCTGGTTCCTTGGCTTCCAGTCCCACCTCAGGAAAAACTGCTAGAAATCAGCTCAGTTCCTACTTTGCAAGAGGTTCTCTGGAGAATCTGAGACATTTTGGAAGATTTTTAAAAATGTTTTATTTATTTTTGAGATAGAGAGAGACAGAGCATGAGCAGGGGAGGGGCATAGAGACAGGAAGACACAGAATCCGAAGCAGGCTCCAGGCTCTGAGCTGTCAGCACAGAGCCTGACATGGGGCTTGAACTCACAAACTGCGAGATCACGACCTGAGCGGAAGTCGGACGCCCAGCCAACTGAGCCACCCAGGTGCCCCCATTTTGGGAGATTTTTAAAAATCATACCCTTGATATTAAAAAAAAGCCTAAAGGCACAAGTACAATAAATAAATCTGTTCGTTAAATTACTTTAAAAACCAGTAGCAATAACAAGAAAATACAAAAAAAATTCCAAAGGGAACATGAAAACAGAAGGTAATCTTATCACCCTACAGAGATCAGGGCAGTTTTAGTGAAATCTGTCAGCCTTGAGTGATGAGTGCAACACGCCAAACAGGGCTTGTCTGTGACATTTCCCTAGACTATTAAGTGAACTAAGCCCTGGGGTTGTAGACTGTATACTCTTCATAATCATAATGGTGATCCTGAAAGAACTCCTGATGGCCTAACATGACCTTTAGGTCAAGGATGAGGAACAACTCTACTTACACAGACGATGAGATTCCCCCTGCATTGCTAACCACAATATCTGCCTTTGGTTCTGGCTTTTGGGGAGTAGCTGCCCGGCACGGAGGATCTGGAGGCCTCACTGGAGGACGGACAATGGTTGGCTTTTCTCCTAGAGGCCGCACTTTGTTGAAACTGTCAGAGTCTCCTGAAAGAGAACACCACCAAGAACTTGAGTGGTTAGCCAATTGGAACACTATTCATGAACAGGCACCCAATATTGGAGTTATCTTGGCTACCTCCCTTGGCCCCCACTTACTTTTGGTCATTAACAACTATGCATTTGTTTTCCTTTCTTTCTATCTTTTTTTTTTTTTTTGCTTGGTTGATTTTGGTTTTGCTTTGTTTGTTTGTTTGTTTGTTTTTGTTTTGTTTTGCTTTTCATTCTTCCAGCAGCTTAATTCTTCAGAAAGTCTATGTTTGAAACCCAGCTCTAGAACTTCTATTTGTGTGACCTAGGGTATGTTACATCAATTTGATAATTCTTAGTTTCCTCATCATATAATGAAGACCAATAATACTTTAACTTACAGAGATAAAAAAAAATTAATTAGGTACTTGGGTGCCGGGTGGCTCAGTCAGTTAAGCACCTGACTCTTGATTTCAGCTCAGGTTATGACCTCACAGTTCAGCCATGCACTGACAGTGCAGAGCCTGCTTGGGATTCTCTCTCTGCCTGTCCCCCACTCATATGCATGTGTTATTGCTCCTCTCTCTTTCTGTCTCAAAGTAAATAAACTTAAAAAAAAAAGCACTAATATATTTAGTACAGGCCTGGCACATAATAGGCACTTAGCCAATGTTTTATAATGAATTTGAATCTGTTAGTTTTGTAATTACCAAAACTCAGGTCTTTTTTACTTAGACTTTGACTATGGTAGCAGTATTCCAACTTGCCTCCGTGCCCCTATGTCTCTGGTTTCCAGGTCAGTCAGTACAAAATAAATATACATAATTATTTATGAAATGGTTCTGGCAGGAGTTTATGACATGGATGCACTTACACATTGCTAGTAGCACTGTACACCAGGCTAATTCTGTCTATATAGCCATAAAGAATTCTGGAAAACGTGGATGCAAAATCATACATAAGGCATAGTTTATACTTATTGATCCAGTTGATCCACGTTGGGGAATAAGCCCAAGGGAATTAACCCCTCCCCAAAATAGGAAAAACAATCAGAACAAAAACATGCTTCTTAATAGCAAATACTCGGACCCAGCACAAAGAATAAGCAAACCAATTTTTATAAGCACTTAACCAGTAAATATTACACATGAACTGACAAAGATTTGGGGCAGGTTAAAAAATATACATGCATTTAAAATAATATTAAGTAATGGGGCACCTGGGTGGCTCAGTTGGTTAAGCATCTGACTCTTGATTTCACCTCAGATCATGATCTCATGGTTTGTGAGTTAGAGACCCACGTCAGGCTCTGAGTTGACAGTGCAGAACCTGTTTGGGATTCTCTTTCTCCTTCTCTCTCTGTTTTTCCTTCCCTATCTCTCTCTCTACCAAAAATAAATAAACTTTAAAAAATAATTTTTAAAATTAAAATTAAAATATTAAGTAAAAAAAAAAACACTAAAAGTACTTATGGCCTGCAGAACATTATAGGGAAATAGACACATGTGCAACTAAGGGTGCTATCATGGAGGAGCTAAGATGGCGTTATAATAGGAGGACTCTAGGCTCATCTCATCCCTCAAACACAGCTAGATAACTATCAAATCATTCTAAATACCCCAGAAATCAACCTGAAGACTGACAGAGCAAACTCCACAACTAAAGGCAGAGAAGAAGCCACATTGAGGAAGGTAGAGGTGCAGAGACATGGTTTGTGAGAAAAAAATAGATGGCAGGTGCTGCAGAGAGGAAGGGTCATGGTCATGAAGAAAGGCAAGAGAGAGAGAGGAGAGCACAGGGGAATGCACAAGGAGAACATTTCCCCAAAGCTATTGACTGGGAAAATTAGAGGAGCTGATTTTCATGAGTTCTTGCAACTGGGTGGGGGGGAGGGTTAAATGTTGGTGTGCTTGGCTATGATACAGACATGAGTGTACTGCCCTAATTTTGGAGAGATGGCAGGCAAACAACCAAGGGGCAGATGGCATGGGAAAAGTGATCTGAAGAATGCTTGGGGCACACAGGGGGAGATTACTCCCTCTTCTTGGAGTACCTCCATGAGAGTCAGAGTTCAGGAAGATGCCTCTCTGAGGACAGAGGAGCTGGCTATCAACATTTCCCTCATCTGCCACTCAGTACAAACACAGGGCCAACTACAGAGGGCACCTTGGCCCTACACTGGCTGCTTAACTTGCTTAAACCAGGTCCCACACTCTTGTGCTCTGGAACAACTGACCTTCTCAATCAAACCTGCCTCAATTCCAGCTTGGTAGGCCCTTCACCAAGAAGACCAGTGCAGACCCCTGCCCACACCATATTCCTAAAGCCTGGAGTTAAAAAAGTCAGCAAGCTTGTCTGGGATAGAGCCCAGAAGGCACTGCGCTGCTCCTGGAAAGAAGGCAGTATACACCCCAGAGTCTGATAGTGTGGAAACAGCTATGTGAAAAGCACCTGGGACATATAGGGGAAGATTATTTGATCTTCTCAGAGTGCTTCCCTCACAGACATTATGCATGGAGGTACCTTCCAAGGACAAGGGAGATAGCTGGTGCCATTTCTCCCTACTCACACTCCTCAACATAAACACAGAACCATCTGCAATAAGCACCATAGCACCAACACTAGCTTCCTAGCCTGCTTACACCAGGTCCCTCACCCCTGTGCTCTGGAGGTACTGTCCTTCTAGGTCTAGCTTGTATCACTGACAGCATAGTGGGCCCCTTCCCTAGAGGACCAGCAGAAACCCCTGTCCACATTGCATCTCCTGGCCAGAGCATTCTGCAGGGCTTCATTTCTATTGAAAGTAGCATCATGTCTCATTTCACAAAGAGACCAGAGCACACCTAGTTAAACCTCACTACATTAAGATCAGGGACCAAACAGTGACCAATGTAGGCAAGGAGAATGTCTGCAGAGGACTGGCCTGAATGATGAAGCACTTAAAACACAACAGAAAACATTCAGCATATACCAGAGTCATTCCCTGATGCTTCAGGCCATGGATAGTATATGACCTCTTCTTCCGAAAGCCATTACTCTCAGGAACAGAAAACATGACTGGATTGTCTAACACAGCAAAGAAGACAGAGACTTATAAAAAACTGTGAAGATGGAGGGATTTATCCCAAATGAAACAACAAGATAAGGTCAAAGCCACAGATCCAAGTGAAACAGATATAAGTAACATGCCTGATGGAAAATTTAAAGCAACAATCATAAGGATACTTGCTGAGCTGGAGGAAAGAATAGGGGACTTCAGGGAGACCCTTACCACAGAGATAAAAGAGTTAAAAAATAATCAGTCAGAAACGAAAAATGCAACACTGACATTGGAAACATGCTTGTGCAATAAACACAAGCTGGAAGAAGTAGAGTAAAGAATAAGTAATATAAAGAACAAAATAATGGAAGATAATGAAGCTGAACAAAAGAGAGAAAGAAGACTTATGGAACACAAGAATAGATTAAGGAACTCAGTGACTCCATCAAATGTAATAACATTTACATTATAAGTCACAGAAAAAGAAGAGAGAGAGAAGCGGGCAGAAAATGTATTTGAGGAAATCATAGCTTAAAACTCCCCTAATCTAGGAAACGAAACAGAAATCCAGATCCAGAAGGCACAGAGATGTCTCATCAAAATCAACAAAAGCTGGACAACACCAAGATATATTATAATTAAATTTGAAAAATAAAGTAATTTAAAAAATCTTAAAAGCATCAAGAGAAAAGAAGTTCCTAACTTTCAAGGGAAGACCCATAAGACTAGGTGAAGATTTCTAACAGAAACTTGGCAAGCCGGAAGGGAGTGGCATGATTCACTCAAAATGCTGAATGGGAACAACATGTAGCCATGAATACTCTATCCAGCAAGGCTATCACACACAATTGAAGGAGAATTAAATAGTTCCCCAGACAAACAAAAACTAAAGGAGTTTGTGACCACTAAATCAGCATTGCTAGTATTAAAGAGGACTCTTCAGGTGGAAAGTAAAGACCCAAAGTGACAAAGATAAGAAAGGAACAGAGAGTATCTCCCAAAACAACAATAAAACAAATAATGAAATCACACTAAATATATATCTATCAATAATTACTCTGAATGTAAATGGACCAAACATGCCAAGAAAAAAAAAAAAAACAGAGTGTAAGAATGAATTAAAAAAAACCCAAGAACCATGTAAATGCTCCCTCATTTTAGACCAAAAGACACCTAAGATTGAAAGTGAGGGGATGGAGAAAGTTTTATCATGCAAATGGATGTTAAAAGAAAGCTGGAGTAGCAATACTTATGTTGGACAAAGTAGATGTTAAATCAAAGACTGAAGAAAGGCACTATATTATAATAAAGGGGATAATCCAACAAGAAGATCTAATGATTGTAAATATTTATGCTCCCAACATGGAACAGTCAGATATATAAAACAACAACAAAAAAGGAACTCGTTGATACTACTACAATAATAGTAGAGGACTTTAACACCCATACTTACATCAATGGACACATCATCTGAGCTGATAATCAACAAGGAAATAATGGCTTTGAATGACACCCTGGATCAGATGGATTTAACAGATATATTCAAAACATGCCATTCTAAAACAGCAGAATGCACATTCTTTGGAAATGCACATGGGACATTCTGCAGGTCATAGTTCAGGCCTCACCAAGTACCAAAAGATTGAGATCATATCATGCATATTTTCTGAACACAACGCTAGGAAACTTTAAGTCAACTATAAGAAAAATATTGGAAAGACCACATATACATGAGTGTTAAACAGCATGCTATTTAAACTTCAGCATATACATGAGTGTTAAACTAAACAATGAATGGATCAACCAGGAAATCAAAGAAGATATAAAAAATACATGGAAACAAATGAAAATAAAAACACAATGGCCCAAAACCTTTCTGATGCAGCAAAAGCAGCCCTAAGAAGGAAAGAGATAGCAATACAGGTCCACTTCAAGAGGCAAGAAAAATCTTAAATAAACAGCTTAACTTTACACCTAA